CGTAGTCGCGTTGGGGACTGCGGGGGGGGGGGGGGGGGGGGGGGCCGCCAGTGAGCAAGTTGTGTGTGCAACCATGAAACATAGAGAAAGATGTGTACCTGTGACATTTTGGATGAACATGCACCTGAATGTATAGCATGAGTGTGAACAGCATGCTCTCCTCCAAGTGCTCCATTAATGCTGAAGCTTTTCATCCGGCCCTTGCGCTCTATCCCTTGCCAAGTGGATGTGCCATATCAGGATGAAATGGGGGAAGAGGGTCGCACAGAGTGACCAGGGTGCACTCATGAGGATAATTCACCTGGGTGCCGAGCAGGATCCATTTCAGACTACTTTAACCTGTGGAGGTTTTTGGTACAAGCGCTGTTTGTGGAACAGGGTGGAGTGCTGTAACTACTGAGCCGTTTACTGGCCCGCAACCTATGAGCCAATCACCAACAACAATCAGCCCCCCGCCCTTCTATGTCATCTACAAAGACAAAGTTGGATGCTACAGGGGAGGTTGCTTATCTCCAGCCCTCACTATGGTACTTAATGTGCCAAACCAGCTTCTAGTTTTAGTCGTAGTCAGACATGTTATGTCCATATTTGTTTTTGTGGAGTCATGGTAAAAGCCATCATTCCTACAGTACTGTGTGTCTCCACTCTCCGTCATCACTGCAGTGCTCTCTAGCGCTCTCTCTAGCTCAGGACCAAACCAAGGGTTTGTTACAGTAAGTTGGATTCAAGCAAAACCTTAAGCTGATGCTGTAGCAGGTGTGTGGTAGCTAGAATAGTTTCTTTCTGTATCTCTGTTGTTTCTAAACACTTGGTGGCCAGGTTGTGGTGTAGAAGGTATTGCTGCGGTGTATGGCATAAGGTAAAACAGACACCCATTAGAAATCCCACCCTAGTAGTTTGATAGAGCAACATACTACTTTGGCTTTTCCAACAGAGAAGTAACAGCTGTACTACCCTTTTTATTTCTCTTACTTACTTTAATTTCCCTCACCCTCAGTTTTAGGTTTCAATGCTGTAGGCAAGTCATTACATGAACAGCTTTGTAGTTTACCCCTCAGGCACAGTGTCATCCAGTTCAGCAGTCAGTTTATATTTCAACACATAAATTCACACTTTGAAGGAAACTCCCTTCTCTAGATATTAAACTGTATAGAGTGAGTGAACGCTGCAGCTTGCACCTCTTTTTTTGAGTGTTTGTTTATTTCTCACACTTCAGCAGTTTGCCACTATGTCGACTTACACTTCAGTGTACACAGGGAGTAGTACAGCCAGTGTGTGTTTGAACAGTCAGTTTGCCATATGGGAGCTCTTAAGAGGAGCTGCTGAGTTTACTTTGGGAGGTCATGGACCACTTCTGTTTGCTTGGGTGCCGTGCCCATGCTCCCACCCCAACAGCACGTAAGCGACTGCTCAGAGTCCTTGTGTGATAACAAATTATGATTTTGTCAGACTGCATGCGCACCCTTCGAGACCTGTGGTGACACAGAACATCGTTTAGCTCTCTGCGATGTTCGGCCACATTGTTTCAAAGGATGGGATGTTGTTAGCTGTTTGACATTTAGGCTCCCACTTGCTTCTTCTTTCCAGTTTGTCCAGTTTCAAAGCTATTACTCCTGTTTCACTAAGGATCTTTTAGTCCTCACCATGGCAACACAGATGTTTTAGCAGAGAGGGGAATGACTAATGTGGTACTATAGTAACAGGATGGAGTGGGAGACTTTTTTCCTTGTCAAATTTGATGTCTTATTGTTGTGTAGTTAAAATGGGGAAAAACTTGAAAGCTGATAAGCTGAATGATTGTTTTTGATAAAAAAGAAATGCTCATTTTTCATGTCAGGATCATCTGGAGTTCATCCATGATATGATTTAGTTCAGGACTTTGAGTTAATGGGTAAGGCTGGGCATTTTCTGTATTAGCAGTACTTTCAACACTCCTCATACAGAGACTAAAACCAGCAGTGATTTGCCTCTATTCACAATTAATGTCTGTGAATCTGTTGGTCCTGGATTATCTTATTTTATCTGTGACATAGACCGCCACAATTAAAACCAGTGTAAATCAATGGCAGCACTTCAGGGCACTGGTTGACATGTTTCCTCATTACAAAAGACAAACCCCTGGTATATTTTAAAAATGTTGCCCAAAAGCTCCAAACAGCCACAACTTTTCACAGCATCTGAAGTAAGCAGGAGTCAAGGGCCCATGCATGAGATATTTCTAGCAAATATCAGGGTGTTGTGTTCCGTACTGAGGAAACGTCAACCAGTGCAGCGATGCGTTTCTCTGATGCGTTTTTAATTGTTTGTCAGCAACAGTGGAGGTCTGTGGCACAGATGAATAAGCTGATCCAGGACTTACTGACATTAATCATGAGTGGATGCAAATCACTGTTGGTTTTAGTCTCTGTATGGGGAGTGTTTAAAATACTGTTAATATAGAAAATGACCAACCTTATCCTTTAAACAAGTGCTGAAGAAAGCATCATTTCATGAGCATTGTCTCTCCTGACAGTGTTGTCAGCACTGTGCCCTGATGCTGAGCAACTACATCTGCCAGCGCTGAGAGGCTGTACTTCAGTCTATCTTCAGGACAGTTTATAAGAGAACTGCTACAGCAGTGTGATGTTTCTTTAAAGAAACCTGAAGCTGAAGTAGCTGTAAATACTTTTTCCAAAGGAACATAATGTTTAATGACCACTTTTAAATGTCTTTTTGCCCCGTGAGTGCGAGTGTCTGCGTGTGTGTTATCACAGCCAAGCAGCTGTGATCGCAGTAACTAATTTATTTATGTAAGTGATTTGCAGGCCTGTTGTCTTATGAATACTGTTGATTGCTGACAAATATAGGAATGTGATAATTTCTGGCTTTAGTTTGAGCCCAGAGGGATTGGCTTGGTGAGAAATGAACCTGCACTAAAACACCTGCAAAGACAAGGCACCTCAAAATTCAGTATCACTGCTGGATCATTTACATTAATTACATTTACATGAGATTGATTTTTGTTTTACAAAATGTATGTTAGTCATAATTGTCATTTCAGCTCTTGCTGGTGTCCTATGACCCCACTCCACCTCTGGTGACTCTTCTTTGCTTCCGGGGCGCCCCCTGCTGCTGAAGAGGCTGCGGCCAGAGGCAAGCTGGTACAGACCAGCCTATACAATGCCTTTTCTCTCTTTTCCTTTGTTTGGTTTCCTCCTTGTAAACTGTACAGATTGAAAAACAGATCATTTTAAAATAAAAAAATAAAATAAAAGTATGATAGCGGAAACAAAAACCTGATGCTGAAAAAATTGAACTCTGACGAATGTGATATATATTTTAATTTTTTTTTTTTTCCCGAGGGGTATACGAGTATATGTGTATGTTTAATTTTAAATCTCAGGTTCCGATGGACCAAATAAATTTTTTTTAATTAAAAGACTAGATTTGTCATTATTATGAACACTGACTTCTACACAAATGTCTATTATACAGTAACCAAGGTTTTCCTAGTTGGTGACTCATTGAAACAACGTGACAAACACATAATTATAACCTGTCAGAGGAGACTTTTTTTTTTTTTACTGTTCAGACTATTGTACTTGATGAGTAATAAGAGGATAGAGTTTTCAAGCTGCAGATATTTGAGGGAAAAAAGATGATAAAACATCATGTTTTTACATATCACATGGTTTTCATTTACGCATATGCTTGTTTACTTCACCTTTAACGATTCACAGAACCACTTATCTCTTCAGTGATTTGGCTTTGCTCTTAATTTTCTCATCTTTTCATCTCCCGTCTCTTTTTTTTTTTTTTTTTTTTTTTTGAGAATATATCTTTCTTTTTTTTTCTAGTTGTGTTTCTGTCTACCATGTGTGTCTGTTCCACCTCTTCTCCCTTCACCACCCCACCCTGCTTTTTCAAGAGACCCCAGCAGAGACACTGTGAAAGTTCCATGAGGTGGTGGTGATATCTAACACAAGGAGCTGACAATCACTGTCTTCTATCCAAGAAAACTCAGAATCATCTAGAAGTCATTTTGCTCATTTGGACCCCAAGGTATGGTGACTAAAATATCTATCATGTCTTGTTGTGACATACCCGGGTCGTGCCTGTGGATAGCAGGGCAGGGTGCAAATGTGATAATGCTGTGGACAGATAGTCAGCAGCTGGACTTTGCATGCTATAAACTTAACAATGTCACGGTCAAATATGTGAGGATAGAAAAGCAAAGGCCTGCCCTCCTGTGGGAAAACTGCTCATTTCCAAACCCATGCCTCTCTGGTGTTCTGTAGATATGAAGGAACTAATTATATATAGGCCTTTAAATTTTGTCTGCAGACATGATAAGGCTAAATTACTCCCTAGCAACACTTAGTATGAAATTGGAAAGATACAGAGTTCCTCAAAGTAGAGGGAAAGTAGTTTTCATGTAAGACTGGACTGAGAGTGCAAAAGAGTGTCTCAGAGTGATAAAGTATTTATTATGCTGTTCTCAAGTTAAGAATAGAGATTTACTGCTACAAGCTGCATGGAACTAAATGCAGTTTGGTGTATTTACAAAGCCTGGAGAGTACTGCTGTACTTTAGAAGGGTAGACAAAAGTAACTGAAAAAACATTACAGATTAGATTGATGTGCGCATCCACTAGAACCTAAAGAAAGACTGAAGAAGATATGTGAGCTGTGGTGTGTATTCCACCACCAGATGATCACATTTCTCTCCTCCCTCATAGTTTCCCTTGTATCACGGCAAGTAAATAAATCAAGTGACATGAAAGCAGGGGGGACAATGGGTTTGAGCAGGGCCACAGTGACGCACTTCAAAGAACATGTCTAATGCAGCCTCTGCTGGTCTGAGATTCAGGTGAACCTCTTGTAATGACAGTTTCTGTCATCAGAGTGTTGGGCTGTGGTATGGATCGTGTGTGTGTATGTGTGTTTTATAACTCAAAGGCAAGCCTGGCCTGCTTTCTCAAAATACAGTGGTGTAAAAGGTGTCTGCCTTCAGAGTAACACAATGGAAGACAGAAAGGAATCAATACTGTCTTAGGTTATGTTTAAAGGCTAAAAATGGCCATCACGATTTATAGTCTGTGACGTAAGAAACAGTCAACTGTGCAGGTGCGTGATTTCGGCTCTGTTTACAGTCACCCAGTGCAGCCACTTGTATGTAGGCTACTTAATAGCTTTTGGACAAAAAATGGAGATGTTAAATAAGCCAAACCTAAATGGATTCATAGACATTACGGTGAGTACACAAAACTAGCTGGTTTTACTTTCTGTATGGGATTTATGGAAAAAAATTCACCTTTAAGTTGTGCTTCAGTGTCTTTCCACTCTTTGAAACAGGCCAAACATGAACGATAGATGTCCAATACAGTATAAAACCAAATTAAACATAGTGTTTTTTCCTTTTTTTTTTTTTGACCCCATAATTCATCTCTTAATGGAAAGCCAGGGCCACAACATGGAGTCCCAGATCCCAGCGCTCCCACAGTCCTACTCTCCAGGGACTGATAGTGTCTTTTCTGACCAGTCTGGCTTTTACTCTCTGGATGCCAATGTGCCTGGACTCTCTAAGGTGATTCTCAGCAAGCTCAACATGAGGGATTATGGAGAATACAGGTAAAACTTGGAACAGCCATTGTTGTAACTGATGCACTCACAATCATTACCAAATGTGTTTTATTTTCACAACACCCAGACTATGATTTGTTAATATGGTACATATATTATAAATAGCTGCTTTTTCATATATTTATATATTTGCACTTCATGACTTCTATCGTACTTTTACAACATTCACTACCGCTACATGTTACTTCAGTGTCTCAGATTCCACCAAACTCTCAAACGTGTGTTGTAATTGACAAATGAAATGTGTGATTCTAATTAGGGCTGCCGTTGAAGGGAAGTCTAAAGGAATCTCATTTCACAACTTCAAGGAGATGTTCCAGAAGATGGAGGAGACCTTTAAGTTCTGCACCGGCTGCAGCAAACTGCCAGAACATCTTACTGAGGGACAGACCCTGAAACGCTGTGCCAAGTGAGTCACAAGTTAGAGTGATTAAAAAAAATAAATAAAAAAACAGGTATGATGCTTGAGAACGACTGCAGAAATCACTGATGTGCTCACTTTAGTAGGTGGTCCATGGTGCAAGATTTACAATATTCTAGCATTAATACAGCTGAGCGTTAATTAACAACAATCGTTGAGAAGAATATGTTAGGCCACTGCATCCTACACCATTCTCTGGTCAGCGCTATAATCACCCAGTCAGGAAACTGTTTTGACATTTTGCCTAATAGCTGTCATGTGTAAAGCATTACCAGTTACTGTTGTATCAGCAACAGAATGATAGGCCACCAAGGTGTGGACAGTCTACAGGGGTAAACACTGGCTAGTGTGGCAAATATAGCCAAGTCCCCTGACTATAGTTCAGTCTCTCTGCAACTTTGCAGTTTATTAAGAGCAGCTTAATGAAGATCATAGTGTCAAAACACTACAGAGTGTCCTTCAAGAAGTGTATGGCGAATAAGGAGTGGATTATGGCATACCATGTTAACAAGTGTCTCATTTTTGTCTCCTTTCCTTCTCCCTCTCTCTCTCTCTGATTCACACACACAAGCTGATTTGCTTGTGTGTTCCTCTGAAATTCTCAGCTGCTACTGCCTCTCTCCGGTGGCAGCAGATTGAATTGCTGACAAGTCAAACTCTCAAGACCTTTCACGTCTAAGAATAACTGCCAATAGCCAAGAATGCCTGGCTGTGTCTTTCAAACACATTCACACTTCTGACCAAGAAATGACCTCACCATGTAAACTGTGTGACAAAACAACAGCTCACATACAGTACATACAAAGTATGTACTGTATGTGAGTACTTTGAGTTTGCCACATATAAAATGGGCTATAAAACAATGTAGGATACTAATTATGTCCTGGGAGAAACGAGATATTCTAGGTGATGATTTTTCTAGTTGATGCAAACTTCATTATGAGACTATTAAGGCATCTCTGTGCTTTGACCTGCAGTATAGTAAATGGTAACATGAGCATCTAGCTAATTATCACTAAATATGAACCACAGCTGAGGCTTATGGGAATTTCGTTAGCTTTCCAGATATTCATGGATCAAAGTATTGGGTAAACTGAAAATTGGACCTGATGATGATGATGATGCTAAATGAAAAGTCAGATGATTATCAAAGTCATCATAATTTAACCTCTTGGAACTGTGACTGCAAAACTGCTGGAGTCTGGGTGTATGAAATGGAGAGTTTACAACTTTCTGTTTAACTTGTTTAACTGCCTTTCATGGGTTCTTTCCAGTTCCTCTGTTGATTTTCTCCTGTCTTTCTCTCTCAGGTGCTTGAATGTATACTACTGCACCAAGGAGTGCCAGCAAAAAGACTGGCCTCAGCATAAAAAGGTCTGCAAGATTCTGCGTCTGGTGGCCATTGACAGACTAGTTGAGTGGCTCATGTTCACTGGTGAGAAATGAAAAGGCGGTACCATTTCAGTTAAAGTGTCTCATTAGCTGTTCACAAAACAGAAATCATAACGAGATATATTTTAAAGCTAAGGTGCAGAAATTAAATGCTAGAGAGACAAAAAGTGACAGACAGTGCAATACTGGTGCATTTTTTGATATTGTAATTAAAGTTCTGCATCCTTTGAGACTTTTATGCCAGACAGAACTCACATAAATCTATGTTCAGTTTTATGTCACTTAAATCCATCATAAATGTTCTACCGCCCACACAGGAAACCTGCCATTCCCCACAGGGAAGTGGTCCAAGACAGCCACTGAGGTGAAGAGCTGGGATGACTGGCTCCCCATGCAGAGGGACCTCACAGCATGCCTGGATGCCATATTATCTGGTGGCAACATGGCAATCCTGTGGAAGAATGTCAGCAGGCCACGGCCAGATGACACTGACCTGCGACAGTCTTTATGGCGGATTCAGAGCGAGTTCCTCTCTCGAGTTCTCACAGTTGGGATGGCCATGCAACACTTTGGCCTGGATCCATATGCTAAACCTCTCACTATCCACTTAGCAGGGGCATCCCACAGTGAGACCATGGGAGCCAGACTGACTGACTATGATGAGCTGAACAGCATGTTCCCTGGACACCAGGGCATAGAAGTAGTCATGGTGGGACCAGAAGTGGTGGATGGGCCCATCGTGAGAACTCCTCTTACAGCATTTGGACCCAAGCAGAAGGTCTACATCAGTGCCTACAAGGGTCTCTATCATCAGTTCTGGGAGGATGTAGTGGAGAAAGAGGAAGCGGCAAAGCCAGATCTGGTGGTTGGATTTCATCCTGGTATTTACAATCAATGCCATGCCTTACATAAACAAATAAAATAGAATGAGATGTGACTGTAAAACACAAAACTCTTGTGATAGGTGTGGTTGCAAAGGTGTCTTTTACATCAAACTGCTTTTACCAGTAATGAACATAATCATCACTGCAGCTTCACATAGAAACAGCTTAGCTTAAGTGGTCAGCTGTCTTAGAGACTTGTCTCCCTTTACGCTTGCCTGACAATTACTTCTTTCAGAGAACAGAGTAAGTATGTGATGTGTAACTCACTAGATCTGACCTATTCATTAGTGCCAGGCT